TTTTAAACAAAAGATTAATACTATATTGTGTTTTGTCAGATGCACAGTTTAGATTTAGAAAAGGAAAATCAACAATTGTTGCTTTATTTATATCAAATGAGAGTATGAAAAATATTTCGTTATAACACCCAATACCCAATACTTTAAGGATCAAATAGAATATCTTCGCATTCATTACATGTAAAAACTGGTCGATATCGTACGGATATAACTGTTAGAAATGAAATATATTGTTTAAATTGTTATATACATGAATTAGAAGATGAATACCATTTCATGTTAATATGTCCTTGTTACGATATATTGATATAAGAAAAAATATATATAAAAGCATACTATAATACTAGACCTAGTATGCTTAAATTCACTGATATGCTGAAATCAAACAGTAGAAGTATACTTATCCGTATTAATTCGTATAATTTATCCTTGTATATATAAGAGATGCGATGTCTCATAGAAATACCTTAGATATAGTAGATACAACATTTTATTAATTCATTCTCTATGTTGATTTGAAAGGGACATGTTTAGATCTGATCTTGTGATTTATTTTAGTATGTATTATAAAATTGTTTATATATGTATGACGATTGTATATATTTTACAAGTCAAAAAAGAAACTCTTTAACAGTAATTATGCCACTTTTTTTAGATTTGATACAACCATTTGTGGTGGTTTTGGTAGCTTTCACTCCAGATCATGAAAATAAGTCACATTGAATTTTCCAGAGCACAGTTCATCTATAGCATCGTTCCTGGGCAGTCTGTCAAGCAATTTACCAGTCCTAGTTACCTTCACTTTCGCAAGAAACTGGTAACTTCTGTACATGCCAAAGCAGATGTACAGTGCGAATGATCGTAGATAAGATTTTGTGCAACCCAACACTCTAACCGGACGGTACACAATAAATACAATTGTCTTAAAAGCAGATTAAATAAGGGATTTTTCATTATCAAATCAACATAGGTACTTACAATAGATAATATATTAATAATTTACAAGATAATATGTAATGTAAACAATAAAATGATAAAAGATTAATGAAACTTACAAATAATAATATACCAGAAATTCAAAAGCATAAATTACAAGTGCCATGCCTAAGATAATAAAACATCAAAATGATATGCTTACAAATAATTTTCCCTTTTTAAAACCTCCCTTTACATTAGTAATATAAACACCCCAACATACATTCACATGATGTTCATGATTTTTTCAAAATTATTCTACTTTTATAAAGCTAAATATATATGCTCTGCACGTTGAGGATTGGATGAAAATACTTTTAAGACGTGAATTATACAATGGTTTACATTTCTGCCAAGTAGTTTTAGTTACCTTCAACTGCTTAAAAAGATACAGACTGGACCCGAAACCTGCTAAAAGTTGCGGACGACCAAGTCCATAAAATTATATTACATATATTTCTGGAGCTTTAGTTATGCTCCGGAAACTGTTTTCAGTTTTAAGATAATAGTGACCTTGAACTTTGACCTTGTGACCCCAAAATCAATTGGGGTGCTCAACCCAATATGGACAATCATCCTATGAAGTTTGAACACTGTGGGCCAAATGGAACTGAAGCTATGTTCTGGAAATTGTTTTCAGTTTTAAAGTAATAGTGACCTTGACCTTGTGACCCCAAAATCAATAGGAGTCTTCTACCTAATATGGACAATCATCCTATGAAGTTTTGAACACTGTGGGCCAAAATAAAGCTAAAGTTATGCTCCGGTTAAGGTAATAGTGACCTTGACCTTTGAATTGTGACCCAGGGGTCTTCTACCCAATATGGACAATCATCCTTTATTACATGCTTTTCGGTGGTTTATAGAAATATATCAGTGATATAAAACTGGTAATTTCACTGTTTCAAACAGTGAAATTACCACTTTGATAATTTCACTGTTTTGGATTTAAGCCCCATACGTTGTTTCAGTGACATACCAGCGTCGTAAATGACGTCACGTTGTATTATTATTTGGCGCGCTTTTCATTCAGTATTAGGTTTAATGTATTGTTAAAACATTTCTTTGCATATAATAAAAAGAAAATTTGTTTAGTTTAGTGTAAGATCGAAATATATTTCACCTTGTGAACACCAAAAGTTCATATTTCACTCGTGGCTGCGCCACTCGTGAAATATACCTTTTGGTGCTCACTCGGTGAAATATATTCCTATCTTACACTGAACTAAACAAATATCCTCTATGTAAATTTTTAATTGTGTTGGCCAAATGGAACTTAAGTAATGCTCCAGAAACAAAATTGCTAACGGACGGACGGAAGTTCTAACAGGAGAGTAATAATGTGGCTTCTTTATTGTTCTCTTTATTGTTCTTTTTAGCCACATAAAAGAAAATAGCCACATAAAAGCATTACGAACTGAATAACATTAAGGTGACAACGGAGACAATTATCACTGAAAATACCTAAAATGAGATTTTTTGCTTAGTAGATTTATCCATCTTTTCTGAACACATTTGTGATTTAATTTTGGGAGCAGTTAGTCCAAAAATTGTGTTTTTAAACGTTTTAAAACGGTACCTGTACCATTTTTATCTGCTATTCGCGTAACCTGTCAATTATCGATAACGCTCCGCCCCCTGTTGAGGCAACAATGAGGGAAATCGATAGTTCCATATATGCGTGAATTACCGGTCCATAGTGGTCCATACTACTCGTAATTCATGTATCGTACAAATACCGAATATCGTCTACCTTTTTTTTTAGCCTTTTTTATAAAAAAAAAATTGTCGGCCAATGTACGTAACATAATGTATGAAACATAAATAAGCTATCGTCGGATACCCACGGCCGAACCATATTAACATTTATTGCATGTTATGTGACATGATTATCAATCGTGGGTATCCGACGATGAAATAATTAAGCATAGCGGCAAATCGCACGACCACGGGGTTGATTAAAAATATAGTTGCTTAAATATCTATAATGTGTGAAAATAATTTGTCTGTCTCGTTAATCTGATAGATATTACATTGAGTTTATGGACTTTGTACGGATTCAATGGCTTGCTTTACATTCAACCTCATTTTCTAACAATGTCAACAAAAACAGACAACATTTTTAATGTGAACGCCTATATGACTTGTGGTAAGGTGTCTCTGACAAATTTCTAAACCATTTTAGGTTGTCTAAGATTTATATCAATTTGGAGGAAAAAATATATAATATCCCGTTCTTATTTGTACATCTACCATGGACTTTAAAAGACCGTCAGAAGCTCATTTTTTTTTGTTATTTTGATTTATATTTTAACGGAATTTCATTCACGAATACACAGAGTGACACTGGTATAATATAATAATAATGCTGAAATGCTGATAATAATAATAATAATAATAAACTTCAAAAGTGAAACAATTAAATACCCCGCTAGCGGTGCGCAAATACGTTCCATTTCCCCCCACGGAGTCCCTCAAATTTTACCGAAAGTCACGTGACATGTGCGACCGATACCAGACGGACATTAAATCACGTTAAGATTTGAAGAAATTTCTGTTATAAACTGATATTAATCAGCAACTTTTTAATTGGTCAGATGTCACTGTGTCATAAAATGTTGTTAGAGTATGTTACCGCAACTTGTGACCCTCTCTGGTGCGATAGTTGTGTATTATGCAATTATTTAGCGTGAAACGTAGGGGTCCGAGAGAGAACAGCCGATTTATGACACTTCGTTTGATGCGGGTCGGACTAACTTTGAATCGGCATAACTTTTTTAATAATCAAGCAATTAACATGCGGTTTAAAGCAAAAGTCGCATAAAATGTTTGACGTTACGTAATATTTTTTTGAGAAAAGATAGAAAAAATTTGAGACATGGTTCCCCAGATATTATAAGTATGTTTATTTTCCAAAAGTTTAATGACAAAAAAATAAAAAAATGCCTTTGATATGACGATTTAAAATTTTAGGATTTTTATTAAAAATCAATCATTTACAAGGCATTTTTTTCAAATATGTTATTTTTTATGATGATCAACGACATTTAATGCACAAAGATTAAATAAATAACAATTATTACTAAAATAAGTTGGTTTAAATGACATTTATGTGAGTACCACGGAAAGTGTCTGTTGTCACCTTAAAGAGAAAGAACAGTTACCTATTGTCCCTATAGCCTCATAATAACTGTCCTTATAGTGTGAACGGACAGACATACGGACGGACGCCGGGGGTGTAACATAACATGTCCGAATTTTTTCGGGCATATAAAAACAGGAGAATCAAACTTTGTGAGATTTCATTTCATGCTTTCCAGTGTTTTACTGTAATATAACAGATGATTATATTCTGATAAACCACTAGTGAAATTTATAAAATATAATTTTCTCTGTAGCCGGACTATATCTGAATGCGGATGATAAATATATCATAAATTAATGAAATAACAGACAAAAATAAATGCCGTCATACGTAAATGTTGCTTCTTTAGGAAAAGAAAGTCGGTGTCATCATACATCATCTTAAAAATTTAACAAAATTAGAGAAATTTAACAGAATTATATTTCAAAACTGATTATGTGACGTCATGATTGATGACGTCTAAAAGAATGCGCGACGTTGCGCGGCAAAATCAGAAAAAAAAATCTTAAAATCACTAAAAAAAAAAAAAGCATGAAATAAAAAGAAGATTTATTTGTTTACAATATAAGATTGAAATATAGTTCATTCGTGAACACCACTTATTATATTTTCACTCGTGGCTCCTCTTGTGAAAATGTTGCATCTGGTGTTCACTCAGTGAAATATATTTCAATCTTACATGCAAAACAAACAAATTTCCTCTATGTAATTTTCTATGAGATTTTTAAGAAGATCAACTTCTATAATGACCAGTATGTCTGACATAATACTACTAATGATAATTAAATTGCCTATGCTTGAAAAGTATGATATTATTCTACATTAGATTGCAATTAAAATAAATTTGCAGTGAATATTTTCATTTTAAATTATATTTTACCAGTTTCACATGTTCGACCTGTGAATCCAACATTACAGGTACAATGATAATCATTGACAGCGTCTGTACAGTTACCATTGTTATGACATGGTAGGGATTGGCAGTCATCTATATCTGTAAGAAAAAATATAATTGGAGATCAAAAAATCATCGAACAGCTTTCCTCACAAAACGGTTTATTCAATATGTTAAAATGTCATTATTGTCAGTGAATAAGTACAAATCCAAGTTACTTGACATTTGTCATAATTAACGTTATCCGGAACTCGGCAAGTGTTTTTTTTTGTCAAGCTAATTTGAAGGTACAAACAAACGTTTAATGCATACATTTTGCAGCTTCTCATATCACTGCGAAATAAATTTAGTACGATTGAAATAATACTGATAAATTATATTTTACCAGTTTCACATGTTCGACCTGTGAATCCAACATTACAGGTACAATGATAATCATTGACAGCGTCTGTACAGTTACCATTGTTATGACATGGTAGGGATTGGCAGTCATCTATATCTATTAGACAAAAAAATATAATTGGAGATCACAAAATAACAAATTTGTGGTAGGTTAAAGTCTTTACTGTATTGAACATTATTCAATGTGTACTGCACGTTTATTTCGTGCATTATATACTACCTTCTTATAAAATTGGTAAGATATATATATCATTTGAGTTGTTTGTATGGAAAGCCATGGCTGTCTTATATTGTTGTTATTCAATTTATTAGCCATTTGGATAATATATAAGTTCACTTCGACTATATATGACTTGAAATCACCATCTTTTTTTAACCGGAATCCATTATATTAATCCACAGTTACAATATATGAAACCATACTGTCAGTGTATGAAACCGAGTTAGCAATATATAAGTTGATTTTCTCAATATATGATTCCAGTTCTTCAATATATTGTACCAAAGTAGCCATGTATGGAACCAGATATCCTTATATGAAACCGAATTATCAATATATTAATTCATTTTACAATATATGAAACCAATTTATCAAAGTATGAAACCAAAGTATCAATATATAAGTTGGTTATCACACTATATGATACCAATTCTTCAATATATGGTACCAAAGCAGCCATATATGGAACCAGATATCCATATATTGAACCGAATAATCAATATATTAATTCATTTAACAATGTATGGAACCAAAGTAGCAATATATAAGTTGATTATAACATTTTATGATACCAATTCTTCAATATATTGACCAAAGTAGCCGTGCATGGAACCAGATGTCCTGATATGAAACTGAACTTTCAATATATTAATTCATTTTTTACAATTTATGACACCAATTTATCAATGTATGGAACCAAAGTAGCAATATATGACTTGATTATCACTTTATATGATACCAGTTATTCAATATATGGTTCCAAAGTAGCCATATATGGAACCAGATGCCCTTATATAAAAATGAATTATCAATATATCTTTTTTTATTTTTACAATGTATGAAACCATTTTATTAATGTATTGAACCATAGTAGCAGTATATAAGTTGATGTTACATTCTATGGTAGCAATTTTCATTTTATGGAACCAAAATAGCCTATTTTCAGTCAACAAGTCAAAGGCTAAGGTCACTGGACTCTGTTATTACAATGCATACACTTTTCATGAAATCAATTATTACTTGACTTTTGTGAGTACATTATTTTTTATGTGTCCTACTGGCCATGCGCATTTTTTATCAAAGGTAAATTTAGGTCGAGATGATTTTATCTTTTAAAAATGTTTTTTGTTAATGATCGATACGACTCAGAAGCTTAAATTATGACTTTGAAACTTTAAATACATATATAACGATAAGTTTTGCCTGCCCAGCCCATTTTAAGGCCAAAGTGAATGTGACGGTAAATTCAAATATTTCCTTATTTTAAAAAATGTGCAATATGCAAGCAGTGAAGCACGATTGTCTATTCACAGTCACAAGAATATTGGCGCGAAACTGTACTACCCGTGCAAGGATAGAATACAGCCTTTAAAAAAGTCCCGTCAATATAATGACATTTTGGTTTCGCGCTTTGCTCATTTGGTTCCATATATTTGAAAAGTGGATTCATATTGTAACGATCAGGTCCATCATTTTAGGTCCGATAATAAACCCGTATCCGGAAACTACTCAAGTACCAAAGTAATTAACTCTATTTCATCAACTTTTAATCATCAAAACATACACTGTATGCACAAATTACGTCAATCTTTTAATATTTGCGATGGTTATATTACTTTAAATGACTTATTTTCTACGTTGTAGCCGTTTTTAGATTAATTAGCCACACGCTGCCAATTTAAACATAGCAGCTGGCATTGGCTAAATTTCTGCCCGCGCGAACTAGGCAGTGACGTCATCGGGGCGATGACGATACTGCCAAGCTAGGCACCCTAGCCAAGCTAGCCACCCAGCGTCCGAGACTATTAATAGCAGCCCGAATCTGCCAAAATTGTCAGTACCTTGGTAGATAGCCACCAGATAACACCCAAGCTACAATCTATATTATATTGAAAATGGATGTATCTCCAGCCACCAGAAAGGTATATAATACTTTATGCCAGTAGTAGTTTATATAGAAGCTTTATATTAAATCATCTGTATTTTGTAGTTACCATTTTAGATACCCCATCAACCTTATAGCATTTCATGGTAATTCCTACAAGAGAATTTGTACCAGACCACATGCAAGACGTGACACCGTATTTGTCAAGCCTTTCATTTCATCTTATCTAGATGTAACAGAAGAATATTCCTGACCTAAGACGAGGAGCCCAAGCCAGACCCCATCAACACAATACACTATATACGAATTTTATTGTTTGTGAAATGTATATTTAATAAATTGTTGTGTTAATATTATTTCAGGTGTCCTTATTTTCCCTCCAATTATGTGTGTTTGAGAAGAACTCACGTGTCGATATTGAAGTGTGTCCGGGCTAGCAGACCCCTGGTACGTTTCAATATACTAGCAACCTATGTTAATATATTGAGGAATTGGTGTCATATAATGTAAAAATCAACATATACATTGATAAAATGGTTTCATATATTGTAAGAACGATTTAATTATTAATTAAATATATTGATAATTCGGTTTTATATAAGGGCATCTTGTTCCATACATTGCTACTTTGGTATCATATATTGAAGAACTTGTATCATATAATGTGATAATCAACTTATATATTGATACTTTGGTTCAATACATCGATAAAATGAAATCATATATTGTAAAAATGAATTAATATATTGATAATTCGGTTTCATGTAAGGACACCTGGTACATACATGACTTACTTGGTTCCGTATATTGAAGATCTGGTATCATATAATGTGATTATCAACTTATATATTGGTAACTTTGTTCAACACATTGATAAAATGGTTTCATATATTGTAAAAATGAATTATATATATATATAGAGAGAGAGAGATAATTCGGTTTCAAATAAGGACATCTGGTTCCATACATTGCTACTTTGGTACCATATTTTGAAGATCTGGTATCATATAATGTGATAATCAACTTATATATTGATACTTTGGCTCCATACATTGATAAAATGGTTTCATATATTGTAAAAATGAATTAATATATTGATAATTTGGTTTCATATAAGGATATCTGGTTCCATATATAGCTACTCTGGTACAATATATTGAAGAATTGGTATCATATATTGATAAAATCAACTTATAAAATAGCTACCTTGGTTTCATACACTGACGGCATGGTTTCATATATTGTAACTGTGGATTGATGTAATGGATTCCGGTTAAATAAGAAGGTGTTTTCAAAACATATATAGTCGAAGTGAACTTATATATTATCCAAATGGTTAAATAAATTGAAAAAGAACGATATCAGACAGCCATGGTTTTCCATATGTTTGCATAGCTTTACTCATATATCATTTCGGTCGTTTATTTGAACTGCACCGGCTCCGTGGTCGAGGGGTTAGAGTCGATGACTTCTAATCCAGTTACCTCTCTGGCGTGGGTTCGATCCCCGGGAGATGCTTTGGTAGTTTAGCGCGGAGGAAGGTAGTCTAGTACTGGTGTAACTCTCCAGGAACGATGGTTAGGAAACTACCCGCCTATATGACTGAAATACTGTTGAAAAAGGCGTAAAATGAAACAAACAAACAAACAAACAAACAAACATTTGAACTGCATCCCATCCACCCTTCCATTCCAAAGTTCACACAGTTCATATTGTCTTTAATGTCTAACTTTTAATTAAACACGTGACGGATTTCTACTTCGACACAGCTTATGCCAAAATGTGTTCGCTGACAAGCCTGAATTCTTTTGCACATGTTTTGATGATAATGTACAATAGAGATGATGATGATGAGACATTGTTATGTAGGAATAAAAGCAATTGTTTTTAAGACTTAACTTTTATTTGTCTGTAGTATTATTAGTTATATAACGAATGCATTATATATATGGCTATACGATTAATCTTGAACACTGGACATTATACACATGAAAATAGTCTTACCGTTATTAGAAAATACATGAATGTCGTTGAGTCTTCCAAATTGTGATGGACCGAATGCTTTTAAGTTACTCCCATTTGTTGAAACAGTCATTACTGAACTAGAAAGTAAATAGAAATATTTCACTAAGACTCTGCGCTACATATTGTTTGTTGTTATGATGTACATTCGATCATAAATATGTTTATCGTGCTATCCCAGAATCACAGCATCACTTCGCTATTCCTTACATTATCTGTTACAACAATATTGACAAATAGGGGTGTCTATATAGCGTAGTTCGCTTCGTAGAGACCCTGGTTCGAATCCTGGAAAAAAGCATTATTGTTTCTGTTTATTATTATTGTTTGTTTTTGTTTATATATATATATTAATATATAATATATCATTCAACTATCAGAATTTCAGTTCCTCGTGAATTTCATACACACAAGTCTACTTTTACACAGATTCACAAATAAAGACTGAGTTAAAGTCAACACCGACGATGGTGGGTGATAAATGACGAAATAGAATAAATAGCAAATGAAAAAAATATATACTGAGCCAAATGTTTTTTAATGTGCCGAATGGAATTCAGTTTCAAATAGAATAAAATAAATGATACATTTTACTCTGTTCAATGACTGTTAAACTCTGTTCAATGACTATTAAAAATAAAACATTCGTTTTGCTTAATCTATATAAGTTTAACTTCCAATTTTGCAAAACGTCTAATAAATTGCAGGTTTATATAAGTACTTACGCGACAATGTAAAATACAAGCTGACAGGTAAAACAAGACTGATCGGAATGTGCAAAATTGCAAATTTTGACCGCCCAAAATGCTTATAACTTTAGGGCCTTATAACCTGAACTTTCTAATCACTACACTACTCGGATTTACGCGCTCATACACACATTAATTCTTCTGTATTGTAATAAAAAGATGAATGTAATAACTGAATATTTGAACAACGCATTATATAATAATGGTACGACCGAATAATGTAAACGTTATCGTGATCAACTTATAATTACCAAATGTTCTAAATTTAATTTTTATATTTGGGTAGAATCTATATGTATCAAGCCCCTTCTTTTGAAGGATATCCAACACTTTTTCAGAGTAAAAAGGTTATATCTATATACATAAGGATGTTAAAAAAGTAACTTAAGAGTGTCCTTTAGTCCGTCTGTCTGTCGATCTGTTCATAAAAACTGTTTCCTGAGATCACTTTTAAAGAACTTTTCCTACAAATCTACTTAAAATAGAGAAAAGTTGAAACATTACTTATACGAGGGGTGTTCGGGAAATTTAAGATCTTTTGCTGCAGTTTGATAAATAATAGGAATTGAAATTTAAGAAAGGCACCATAAAAATATTAAATTCTTTTACAGCCAGCGGTAAAAATTACAATGAAAAACATCAAACAAAAAATAAATTACCAATAAAACAAAACATACACCGAAGCATACCCGGAGCACGCTAACGTCACGTCAGTGCTAAATATGTTAACGTCAAATTTCCCCGATCGTCATATCGACTTACTTCTCTCCATTCACAGCGATACATTTTCTATGCTTCTTGACCAATTTGTCGTACGTGTCCTCGTTCCAGATGTTGTCGAATGACGAGACTATTTCTTGGGTTTAAATCTGTAATTCCAACCCGGAATCAAAGCGCGACCACGCAGCTGTGGTTCGATTTCCGGAAAAACTCCGAAACCACCGATGGTCGACCGCATCGCTTGTCATCCTCTATGACTCTCTTCCGTTTCGGAACATGTCATGCCATCTAAATACTAGCGATCTACAGCATTTCTTTGTTGTACTAGATGCTTAAATCATTTTATACGTCTCCGTTGGTGTCTTTTCTATTCCTACACAAAACTTGAAGATTGCCCTGACTTCAACTTCGCCTATTGACGTCATTTTTCTCATGATTTGTGTAAGCTATTTCTCAAAGTTTGAAAATCTAATATGTTGTTTATATTTGATGTGATTTCGAATATTTTAGTCATGTATAACTTATTTCTTTCCACAAAGAGAAAGATTCGGACATATCATTTTTTATTACAAAAGAACATATTTTTCATATTTTTTTATTTTGTTTTTGTTAATGGTTTCTATTTATTGTGCAGCGCTACCAGGCGAAATATATATTTGTGTTACGTTATTTGTAGTAAAGGGGAGACTTTAAACTTTACCGCGTTACGTATATAGCGGTAAAGTTATGTCCGCACGTTACGATTGAATAAGTCACATGAGTTAAAGATGACCAATGTTTGATTGTTTTGTTACAAACTGACCAATCGAAATGAATGGTATGATAACATTGAGATAGGTAGAGATACAGGTATCAGTTTCTAGCGTGCACCACTGCTAATAAACACGTGCTTTAAAATTTCAAGTTCATAAATTTAAAAATAGATAAATAAACAGTGGTTACTAAATGTAAATTTTGGTAAAATGTTGTTATAAAGATATGTATTAGTTGAAAGGTTATTAGAACATTCATGTTATATTATTTAATATTTCGTGTGAAGTCCACACACGCCGCTGAGGAAGGCACTGAACTTGTTAAATCGGACACAGGTTTTATCAGAGTAACATTCTCTGTTTGTTTTACTGGACGTCGTGTTTTCCGATGACGCGGATGTTTATTATTGAGAGATCTTTTAACATACTGTAAATGTCACTGCATTATTATATGTATACATATAATGTCACAAATATTGCTACAATTGTAGGTTTTTGGTATAATAAACGGTCTCTCGTGGCTATTGTGCAGCGCTACCAGTAGACAAATATCATTAAATACAAGTGAAATAACATGTGACGAAATTGTAAAACTCATTGGCATCGACATTGATCAACAATTAAATTTTTATTTTCACATAAGCAATATATGTAAAAAAAGCTGCTAATCAGTTAACCCATTACTTCATGAGCATTTTGTGAAAAATGGCTGTTTTCATTGAAAAGTCTCCCGTTACAAGTTCAAATTGCTATAATACTATAAAAACTGCTTCAACACTAATCAAAATTGGCACAAATATTGACTGGACCATTACCCTTGTAACAACATGCTCAGGCTTAAATTTTCTGTTACCATGGCAACGAAGGGACATCTCAAATTTGCCAAAAATCACTATTTTGCGTTGATTTTTTCCATCAAAATTGATTTCAAAGTGCTGCAACTTCTCAATGGATTGAGATAGAGTCAAATGCTTTTAAGCTCGGTTACACGTAACCTTATGATCAATTTGGGGTCATTTATAGCCTCTCACAAGTCCAAAATTTTCTTGGCGATGAGGGGGACTCCGCCCCCTTCAAACCCCCCAAACAGAAGGGGTTATATCCCCCTGATGTATGTTTTGGTTGGGGGCCGCGCCGAAAAAGAGGTCACCTTTTTAACAACATTTCTCAAACAAAAACAAGTGTTGGGGGCCTAAATAAGGCATTTTTTCACCATTTGAGACAACAAAAGGGGGGGGGGGTGAAAAAAGGCGTTAAAAGGCGTGTATCTAACGTAATGGGTTAAACATTCTCAAAAGAATAGGTCACAATTTAAATCAAACAAATAGGTTAACAATCTTTCATACTTTTATATTTTAATTTCTGTCCTATGTCATGGCATTTCTGTTCAGAAAATAATACTAAAAAGATGGAAAAACTACAGGAAAGAGCACTTAGATTTATCTATAATGATTTTAATTCAAGTTATGAAAATATGCTGATAAAAGATAATATACCAACTCTAAAATAAGAAGAATTAGGGCTATGGCCATTGAAACTTTCAAAAATTTTCATGTTATGTCTCCTGCTGTTCTGTCTGACCTTATTGTCAAGAAAACATCTGGTATAGATTTTCAATATTCAAATATTTTGCAGATTCCATAAGTAAGAACTACAACTACTGGTAAAAATCTTTCAGGTATGCTGCACCTGCTTTATGGAATACTCTTTCTGACAATTTAAGAAAATGTTCAAATTTTGCTCAGTTTAAAAAGTTAATTTCATCCTGGAATGGTAAACAGTGTAAATATTTTTTTTTTTTTTTTTTTTTTTTTTTTGCTTTTTTGCTTTTCTTGCATGATTCCTGCTTATGTTAATATTATCAGTTAGTTTCTAGATAGGATGTTGCTGTATTGGTGATCTTTTGTTTTGTTTTTATTTTTTTTGCTTATCTTTCCAGCATGACTCAAGCTAGCTGTTAAATGAGTTCAACTGTTGACTTACATGTATGATCCCTTCTGTCTTTGTGTATTTGTCTGATGACCCATAGTCTTTCATATTTAAATAATATATATTTTTAGTATTTTTATTTATTTATTTATTCATTTATTTATTTATTTATTTAATTATTTATTAAATTTTTAATTGTTTAATCGGTTTATTAAATTATTGAATTTTAAGTAAAATTTTAGATACTAAACATTGTAAGCATAGTTTAATATACAAGCTAGTGAAGTAGAATTGGGTAAACTATCATTTTAGTTTTTTTGCATCTGATTTATTTTTATAAAAATATCTAAAAAGGTCTATTTTTATGTATACATCATGTCTAATCAATTTTTATTGTAGCTGTTTTATATTTGTTGATCTTATACTTTATGTTATATACAGTCGGTTATAAAAGCTCCTAGAGCTTATGTTGTACTGTTGAAAACTTGCCGACTTGAAATAAAACTTATCTTATCTTATCTTATCTTAAGCACCATTGATGTTAAAACCATTGTTATTCAAACAATTGTAACGATTTACGAGTGGAATTTTCAGGAAATGATGTTGACGTTTTATTTAACTCTCGTGCTTTTTCGTGGCGTTATCCATTGTAATTTAAGAAAATTATTATCAATAAAATATATCGGTACCATTAACTTAAATACGATAAAATCGGAGTGCTCCGGGTATGCGTTAGGCGGTTCCTATAGAAACAAGTTTCGGGCGGTATTTGTCTACTCTTGTTAGTGAGCGTTATGCTACATATTTAGCACATATTTAAATTACATTTTGTGAAATATGGACAAAAACGCACCATTAAGGAAATAAATACATCAAAAGTCCTTAAACTTCCCGAACACCCCTCGTATTTATTCATCCTGTGAAAATTGGACCTTTTGATTATCTATTGTATGAATATAATGTCCTTACTAGGCAGGGAAACTAACACATTGCTATGATACAGACAAATTAAGAAATCAACATATCTAAGTACAATCATTTCATTCATTCAATGGCAAAATTAAATGACCCTTCAGAATGATGTTGGGGTTCTTATAGGTAGAGGGCTTATAGATTGCTTGCAATACTATGATAATTGCTTGTTTATCATCGTAATTTCTGATGCCAATGTCTAGGCTTAAACATTTTATTTAAGCTCGATTACAAAGCAAGTTCTTGCAACTTATAATAATCGCTTTCGAGTCCGCTTTCTGGATCAAACAAGTATTAGTGTCATATGAATTAAGCTCGAACCCATGATCCCTGGGTTGACAGGCATATACCTTAACCATTAGGCCACCGATCCCCTTAACCTGAAGGTTAATGACATATAATTTTTTTTCTTTACCTTGTTCCCCAATGTGTATAGAAAAGAATGTCACCGTAAAGAGCAAGTCCAAAGAAATGAGACCCAGGTGCTCTATGCACAATTTGCCTGTTTGTACCGTCAATATATGACTTTTCAATGTTCCCTGTACCACCGTCGCACCAGTAGATAATTTCAGCTTAAATAATAATTTATGGCAATATTATATTATTAAGAACGTTTTCTTGAATATCGATATGTATGAATGTATGAGTTTTTAAAATTACTCCAACATCTTTATGTTTTTTTTTTAAATAACAGCTACAACTATGAGTATAACATACACTTTTTCACACACACGCACGCACACACGCGCACACCCCCCCCCCACACATATATATGTGTGTGTGTGTGTGTGGGTGAGCCAACAGAACTTTGGAAAGACATTTTTTACTATGATCTTTGGTGAGTAATAAGCATACATTTGGGATAGATTTTCAGTTAAAAAATTAAGTGCACACGACATTCTTAAGAAGATAGCAATATATTTTGAATTTAAATTTAAATGCGACTGAAATAAATCAATAATTTCAAATCGACATAGATTGTCAGAGAAACATAAATAAAGAGAGAATTACGACACATTGAGAAGGGTCAGAATTGATCTTTCCTCTAAAAACGAATCTTCCTATTTTGGGTAATAGAGTAACTAAATATCTTTTTAATTTTATATGTTCATCTATGAGTAAAATCGATTAATAAAAACCTGGAAACAATGTGATCCCTCAGAAGCATTAATCACAATAGAATTACAAGAGAATTGCAGACTCGGTTTGATTGAGTCTGTACATAATTGCGTTATCAGAGACATAGTGTAAAGAATACACTGAAAGTATGAGGATGAAAGTGTACCTTCATGATCCAAAGCAATACCATTAGGCCATTTTAAATTTGTGTTAACGATAGTCTTTCTGTTTGTCCCGTCATAGTATGCTGTTTCAATTTTTGCATTCAAACCCCAGTCTGTCCAATATAGTTTTCTGTATAAGAGAAACAAATAAAAACTTTAATCTTTACAATTTGTCATTCATATTTACCATAATATATTTCTCATATTTTGTTTTCATCCCTACCTTTATTTTTGCATGAGATATGTCGTTCTGGTTTAAAAATTAAAATAGACATTATATACCATCAGCTATCTTAAATATAAAGACACAGGTAAATATTACCTGTATTGTCGGATTTTGTAATTACAGAATGACAATCACCTTCTAGATGAATCGAGTTCTATATCCCTAGGCTTCTCAACAGACGAATCAAATAAGACAGTTATTTCGGTTTTAGCTAGTTTCATTTTTACAATTTCATGTTTTCCTGTATCCGTATAAAACAATAGACGCAGCTCGGAATCAATTGCTAGACCATCCAGAATAGATCCTGGAAAAAAAACGATGCGGAATAATTTAATGAAAGTAACGTGGAATTTATTTACATGTGTAAAACATTGTATCAAACAAGAATATTAAACGTATGGAGTTTGAAATATGTACATTTCTTGATTTCCTAAATAAGACAAACCTTACGGATAGTGAAACAAACAGGATACCAATTAACGTTCTAAACTGTTCACCTACTTCCGCATGCGTTTAGAGTTCAACTTTCATTTGCAAATGCACTCTTTCAAAAATGGACAGTTCAAGAAGACGTGGTTTACAAATGCTTTTTTAGTCAAATGTTTTACCCCATGTTTGTAATATTAAGTAATTTATCATAAATTTTATAATAAGATAGAGAAAAACTTAATGCGACAAAATTGAAAATGATGGCTAACTAGTTAATAGTTTATTCGTTTAAGCTTAATAGGCTTTGCATTAGAAATGGAAAAGATACTGTTACATTTCGATTCTTTATAACTTCAGACAATGCCATGCTGTTTGTAGCAGGTTAAAATGACCATTTCTGATGTTATTCAATCAGATTTTTGTCAAATGAAGATGAATAAACCTCCCATATATTGCTCGCTGGTATTGTATAAACATTTAGTGTGAAGTAGAAAGTTGTTTTTATAAGTATAAGGTTAAAAATGGGTGAATGGTTTCGGTTTACGGGATCAGAACATCAGGCACTTGTAGAAAAGAGGCAGTCAAGTTGTTGAATTTTGCTTAAAATGGCCATAATTTGTTGTCATTGGATGTTTTGTATTCATTCTAAGTATGTGATGTATAATAATATTAGTAAGTTCCTTCAAGCAGGTAAAACTGAATTTGATATTGACCTTTATTGTAACATTTTTCTTATTTCTAAACTTACCCATAACTTTTTTTCTCAATTAATGGATTTGATTGATGCTTGGACAAACCAACGCTTACTGTTCTTTGTCGCGTTGTAGATTTAAACTTAGAATGACATTGTCAATAAAGACCAAATCACTGAAATTGGTAAAATTTGCAAAATTGCATTTTTAATAGATTACTTAAAATTTGGCATGACCATCATCTAGGATAAACCGTCAAGTAGAGGAATTTAACCTTTTACCTCATATAGACGTGTTTTGACGGCTTTTTGCACGCCCCCCTTTTGAGGCCTCAGTGACAAAAATGCCCTATTTAGGCCCCAAACGCTGTTTTCTTTTGTTTGAGAAATGTTGTTAAAAAGTGATTACTTTTTGGCGCCGCCCCCATCAAATTGGTACATCAAGGTGTGCCCCCTTCTGTTTGGACGGTTTGAAGGGGCGGCAGTCCCCCTCATCGCCAAGAAAATTTTGGACATTTGACAGGCTAAAAATGGCCTCAGGTCAATCTAAAGGTAACGTGTAACCAACGCTGAAAAGCCTTTTACTCTATCTCAATCCATTGAGAAGTTGAAGCACTATGAAATCAGTTTTGATGGAAACAATACAAAATAGTGATTTTTGGCAATTTTGAGACGTCCCCCGTTGCCATGGTTACAGGAAAATTAAGATTGAGCATGCTGTTACGAAGGCTATGGTCCAGTCAACATCTGTGCCAAGTTTCATCAGTATTGAAGCATTTTTCATAGTTTCATAGCATTTTGAACTCGTTACAGGAGGTTTTTCAATGAAAACAACCATTTTTCACAATATGCTCATGTGGTAAAAGGTTAAGAATAATAATGACCTTTAATTATGTTCATAAATATATAAAAATATTTTTTATTACTTCATATTTAGCCATAACAACATATTGGATAAGTCCTTCATTTAAAAAACTAAAGAAATGACATTTTTATTGTACTGGACCCTCAAGAATAATTATTGGAATATTTTTGAATTCTGTAAAACATGCGTTAATGTGATAAATATTTGGACCCAATAACATGCTGAAAAACGTCATTATACTGAGTGAAGTTAATATTACTTACTGCCTGACATGATTTTTTAATGTGTTATTTTAGTTTTATAAACTGTTGTATATTTGGATTTTACTTCTAAAAAAACTTACAGGACCATACTTTCATAAGATGGTATTCAAAATATGATCTTGGCCTGTGACAGACTATTTCTTTAAAGGCTTCTTTCAGTGTTTTACATTTTATAATATGAAAAAGGCAGGTTTGGCATCTGTTTGTGGAACATCTTGTAGGAATAAATGCTGTTTGCAGTTGGTGAGGGTATTTATCACATTCAGTGATGTCATTATATGTCTAATTCCTACTGTTTCGATAATACTTTCATTTCGCATATCAAGCAGAGTCTTTTGTTGCCATTTTTCGACTTTTTCTAGATTCACAATATTATTTTATTATGAAGGCTTACGGTAACTTCACTTTCTACTACCGTCCATGTACAGGCTCAATCAAATCGAGTCTATAATATTTTCAAATTTGTCGTTTTTGATTTTATGATCTTTAGGAATTAATTTTTTGTCAATTTTTTGTCTACTTTATTGCCACGCCAGTGTAATTGGTGCCGTGTGGAGGCCGTAAAAGGTCGCCCCATGTATATAATCAAAGATGTTATATTATTTATCCTTAAAGATCGTTCTTTACAATGCTGTGTATATACACGTTTGTGGTATTTAAGTTTCATCTTTCCTACTTGAAAACTGTATTAAGATATGGTGTCTACTTCTTAAATTTGTCTGATGCTGTCTTATGTGATATGCAGGCTTCATAACCTGTAATCCTCTTTCAAAATTCCATTTTATTTAGTTCCTGCCCATTGTTTTCTCGTTTAGAGTACACGCTTTCTTTTTCTTGGGGACCATACGCCGCTTTTCATGGAATGACACAAAAATGTCACATTGAAGGTTCCGTGATAACCGCCGTATGAACACATCCATTGATATTTCTGAATTCAAAATTGAATTATGTTTATGATTTAATGTTGAATTCTGCTTAGACAGATGCTAGGGGTGGACGGTAAATTGCATTTTCCAGTACCGTCCATGAATAGGCTAAATCAAACTGTGAGATCACCGGATTTTTTTTTCTTTTTATCTGTATGACGCTAGTTTATGCCTTTTGACAAGTTTTGGCTATCATTCAGGAGAATTCATTCTTTTTATGTATAGCTATAAGAACAATGTATACATATTTTGAGATGAGTAAAATAGTATGCTTAGATCTTCATTACAAAATGTAAAATGAATTATCATAAAAACATAAAAGACATATTTACCCTGAGACTTCAGGATGTTCTTCTGTCCGGAACCATTGATGGAAATACTGTTTATTTCCGCCAAAATGACATCTGTCCAAAATATTCTTTCTTCAAGCAAGTCATAGTCAACGGCAATAGGATTAGATATGTTTGTAATAGGTATTGCATTAACTCTTTGTGTAGCAACATCCATATAAAATACCCCGTGTTTGTATGAATCTGTGAACAACAGAAAGTCGCCTGGAACAGTTCCTAGTGGACAATATGAAACAGATACATGGTTATAAATTTATGATATGTTGTTTGTTTGTACTGTGGTAAAGTTAGGAATCTATTCATTTGATTATGCTGCATTATGTAAATATTATGTCATATTTTGTAATTTAAAGTAACATCATTGTTCATTTATTTTTAATCAATATCATTAGATATCTAATTATGATCAAGGGAGATAATCATGATTAAGTCTTACAGGTTCCCTTGACAACTAGGGAAGGGAGTCACTCTTGTTTAGCTAAATTAGGGCTAATTATTTTCATCATTTTAACAAGTATTCAAGTATTCTAATGATGATTTTCTTTTTGTTTTTTATTATTCACAGTATAAATATTATGTATCTTTAATAATTCTGTATTTTATGTAAATAATATTGAGTTTAGAACACATTTTAAGGGAACTACTTTTTTTGGTACTACTTTAAGTTCCAGGGGACATTCTATTTATGGAATTAGGGATGAATCATGTATCACTTTTGTTTTGCACATTTTACTTACTTTAATCATAAATTATTAGAAATTTAGAATTAGAAATAAGATAAGTATATTTTGATTATATATTTGACATTTTAAGAGTGATAATTACAGAATTCTATTTATATATTTGACTAATTAAACCTGAATAACCTCTTTTAGACCACTTAGACAAACCCAAAGTGTGTTCCATTATTTGTAGTGAATTTATGCAAACAATCAGTCAATGTTTTATTGTTTATTGATTTCATTATGTTCATTATCACTTTGTTTTGTATTTGTTTGTTGTAAATACATATTGGTAGATTAAGAAATACATTTTTGTTTGCAAATATATGTAATTTAGTAATTTTGCTAAATCTCACACAACCTAGTTAAAGGAAAGTCCATTATGGTCATTTCTGATTTGTTGTTGAGATTTGCAGCATCTTTTGTGCCATAAATTGGGATGCAGACCCTCTTTTCAACAGAATTTTGGCAACACTAGGAATAATAACTTTAAAAGACTGGAACAGCTAGGAAACTTCAGGAAAATAGGTTTATATTTTTGGCATTTAGTTAATTAATTAAACTTAATTAGTTCCTTTCATATCTTTTAGCATTTTTTATCTTTAGTTTAAATTTAAAAGCTTATTGAGATTAGAGTTTTGTAACAAGGACTTTGTCACTGTTTATATAACAGAAAAGTGATTGTTTTCCACTGAGATTACAACACTGTCTTTTGTATTATATGAGAATATACAATTGAACAGCCTTATCGGTGGACCTGTGAGCCTCCCATTAGCCAACTGGTATTCTTCAGCTGAATAACCGCTTTCCCTGATCTCAGCTATATGTTTCTTAAATTAAGTAATATTCAAATAACTTTTTAATAGAGAAACGCTCAAAACTAGGTTTAATGTAAATTATTAAACTTGAATTTATTTTTATAAATGTAGATATAGCTGAAATTATTTCTTCTTCTTATTTTACTTTGTAATATATTTCGTCATTTAGCATTTTACATTTCATAAGGAATAAAACTTAAGTGAACTGTTGTCAACTTTAGCAGTTTTTCTTGCTTGTCTTAATGTAATTTGCCATTTGTTTATTCTTTGTGCTATTTTAGTATCAGTTTCAATTATTTTTATTCAGAATCACATTTTGCAAAGTTGGTTATCACTTGTTCAATTTTGCACTGTTTCATAACATCACTTTTCCACCCCCTAATGCTTAAAGTTGTTTTATTTGAAAGTTATCCTTGTTTATTGAATACATTTAACAAAACGCCAGTT